GGAAAAATTGCTATTTCATTATCACTTTGAGTAGGAGTAAAACTGCTTAAGCTAATAACTCGAGTACGAGGAAAGGCTGACAATTATTGGTGTAGTTCTCAATGCGTTAGGTGCCTAGCTTCCATTTCAATCAGGGAGAATTAGGTTCTTTAAAAATCTTAGAAAAAAAAAATAAAAATAGAGCCCTTGATAAGAATTCTCGCTTGACTGAGAAATGCTTCCTCATAAATTGATGCATTTCTTTCTGCCTTTTGTTTAGATTAGGAAGAATAGTCACTCAAGCCGAGGTTAGACTGATTTAGTGCACAGGTTATCCTGAATTAAACATTGTCTCTGTCACTCCCGTCCCAGATTCATACATCCCCTGCTACACCTGCACTGGTGCTGCCGCTCATCTTGGGGAGGTGTTTGGGGATTCGGCAGGGACACCTTTCTGTGGGATCAGGCTTTCTGTAGGGGTGAACCCTACCATGTGCAGCTAACTGAGCAGGTTATCTGCATGGGAACTTGGAGCATGGTAGTCTTTCTGTGCTGGCTCACCTTGAACCACTACCAACCCATTAGCGTGTGTATTCCTCTTCCTTGCTTTTCTAATGTCTTCTGCATAAGTTACAAATACAACTTTGATAACAGAAAGGACAGATACTTCCATCTGCTGAGTGGTATATTCCCCCTACTAAAGCCTGGTTTTGTATTAGCAACCTGCTTCTAAGTATATTTCCTAATTAGAAAAGCAAAAATGTCAGAATATTTTAAAAAGGGAAAAAAAATAATAAACCAAAGTCTCTTGAAAGCCTTGGAAAATTTTGAGAAAAATGTATCACAGCTCTCCACTGCATGGTGTGTGTCTTCAGAACATTTTATGAAAGGTTGACTTGTGTGCTGTTTTGTTAATATTTCTCCATTTTGTAGGTGAATAAATCATGGATTGAAAGGTCAAGTTACTTGCCCTAAATTACAGAGGGAGTAAACACTGGAACCCTGATGAGCATCCAGAGGTCTTTTCCTCAAACTAAGGATGTTAAAGGAAACATTATTTTAAAAATAAATTAATTCACTTAATGTCAGGCGATTTCCTCTGGCATCTGTTGCATAAAATACATATTCATAGATGAACAGTTTTGACTAAAAACTCAGCAGGTACTAAAAAGGATAGTAAAAAAAATATATATAAAAAAATCTTTTTCTAGGTGGGAAACTATTCTGAATCTGTAGTCCTAAAAGGAATTAATCTCAAACAATACTTGAGTGTGCAGTTACGCAGTTGAAATCAGCCTTAAAAACTAGCGTATGGGTTTTGATGTAATGGCTTAGATCTCTTTCTCTTCTCTTTATATATCTAAGCTATTGGCAGTGCATGTGTCTGTTCGTGCCAATCTAATGTAAAATAAATATTCATGATAATTGGATCCAGCTTCCTAAAATTAATTTAAACTTTCTCCATGTGCTTAATCTGTATTGTTTTCTGTCTCTGAGTTTGTAGGCAGCAATTCAGCAAGCTCTGAGAACAATTAACTTTTCAAAGAATTTTTTCAATCAATTAACTCTAATTTAAATCTTAATCTGATTATGGAGATAGAATCATCTGGCTAATTCCTGAAGAATGGAGTTTACTTGAAATGCAACAGCAGCCCTGGTCAGTTTGCTTCATGTGTGCTGGGGACACAACCCGTGTATCCAAGGCTGGCTCCTGGTTCTGACCCACTTCTCAGCCTGCAGTGTGAGCCCTGGGCCGCGGGGATAGGCTGAGGGGCTGGGTGATGATGAGGACATGGAAAATGTAAGGCTCCACCTTCGTATGGCAGACTAGTTTTGTGCTGGATTAAATTAACTCTGAATCTATTTCCTTAATCTGTCTTTCATGTCCTGGTTACTGCAAAGCTTGTTTTTTCTGTCCCAAGAACCAGGTATTTTTAAAAATGGTGATATGCTTGGAGATGAAGGCAATGACTTCATTGTAGATTCACACTGTATATTCTTAGGTGTTACCAAAATATGTGTATGGATGCCATTAGCCATTTTATCTGCATTTTAGGTAACTAGAATCAGGAGAGTATGATAGTGGCATTTTCCATGTCTTCTTTTTGCAGAAGTACATTTTAAAAAAAAAAAAAGGAAATGAATAAACATTGAAAACCAAATAGCATCTCGCACCTAGGAATTTATTTCAGGCCTGTGAAGAACTCATTTACTTTGTTCAAGGGGTCACTTCAGTAGGTGACTCTTAGACTAGGAAAAACAGGATTTTCAGAGAATACCTTCAGGCCAGGTAAGGCCCCAGACCTTTTAACTCTGATTTTCATTATAATAGGTTCCCCAGTCCAGGCATGAATAGACATCTGGGAAACTGATCTTTTCATCCTGTAATGGCCTGAGTGAAAAGTCAGATCAGCCATTTCTTGTCTTTCTGATATTTATTGTAGATGTTTCATAAGTTTCACTGTGAGATTTATGAGCTCAGCTGGGATTGATCATGTAGAAGCACACTGAATTTAGAGAAAACTGGACAGTTTCGTGAAAAGCGTGTTTTTTCACTCCCTTCCAAATCTCACAATAGAAAAAAGCACTTTTAAACAAAACAAATGGGAACTACACTTAGTGAAATACTTTCTCTGAAAAAAAAAAACAGGAGCAATTTTAAGAGTTATATTTATGATACCATAAGTTAAATTCTTAAAATGACTAAAAACAATCAGAATTTCAATGTAGCATATTAAGAAAATTCAATTTCTATATCCTGTAATTCAAATATACTATTGGTCTTTAGTACTGTACTCTGTTATGACTACAATGTAATAATTATTTGAAATATAGTTTTGTTTATTTCTAAGCTTTTTCGCTAGAACGAATGTTTTGTTTTGATCAGCTTTATAACCTTGAATACATTACACGCTATTGTTGAAGAACATGTATACATAAAAACATATAGGGAGATAGGTTGAGCTATAGAAATAAATGCTTCCATTGCTTTCGTCATACTGATATTTCCTGTTGTCAATGTTTTATTTGCCTTGTTATATAAATAACCACAAAGTATTTGAACACGTTATTGTGCATTTCAGTTTCATTTCTAAATATAGTTGTCACTGTTCAAAAGTATTTTATGATTCCATTAGTTATTTGGCAAGCTGCTGGTCCCAAGGCAGGACATTTCTTCTGTACAGGTTGCTGGGTACTGTGCAGAAGAGGCTAGGTGCACACACAAGGCAAAATATTCCTTTGGGCTGTGCAGGAAGTATTTAAAATATATTTTTTAATCTTGTTATTTTAAGAAATGTGGACTGTATTCTCTGACATCTTAACATTTGTGTTTTCTGTTAGTGAAGATTAACGGATCTGAATCTGAACAAAGAAATTAGATTGCTACAGCAGTACCAGAAATACAGATCTGTCATGTTTGATGTTTTTGTTTAAGATTCAGCTGGAGGGAACTGCATTTTGTGGTGACAAGAGTCCTAAACTGATAGAAAATAGTAATGGATGATAATCTGGAAAAGGCATTGTAGATGTTAGCTATATTAGTTGTGTTACATGTGACCTCAATACAATGCTAAAAAAAATAAATTTAGAAATTAAGTAATAAGTAAGCTTTGTATATGCTGAATACTTCTAAATATGTAAGACTTACAATTTGAGTTGTACATCATTGTAACTCTTGAACCTCCTTTGAGTGAAACCTGATTCCCTAGTGCAAGGGGAGTGGCATCCTACTTAATTGCTTTTTTATTTTTTAATTTTAACTCCAGACAGCACCGGGGAAAAATATCAAATTTTCACAGCCGTGTTTGGTATGACTAGTACTGGCAACAGTGAAAGGACAATGTGCCTGATAGGATGCTAAGATATTCGACTTTGATCGAAGGGAGAGGAAGGTAGCCCTGAGCAAGTGCTCTGAGCAGCCCTGGAGGGACTCCATCTTTAACAAAAGAACAGAGGAAATGTAGCTTCAAGTAACTCTCTGAAGCAAGCTAGCTGTGGATAGAGGAGGAGCTCGAAAACCTGCTAAATGAACCAAGACAGTGCAAGAGCTAGGAAGAATTTCCTTGGGAAGCAAGCTCCGGAATTTTGCTTTCATACCTTACATTTTTCTTAGCTGTTCCCAGTTTTGTAATCAAGAATGTGAGTCTTTTATGCTGCTCACTGTTAAAAAACAAAACAACAACAACAAAAAAAAGCACTTTTTTATGAGAAGCACTAAGTTGCTAGTATCAGTGTGGCAATCAGTGTTGTGAAGAGTCTGGCAGGAGGAAGATGCTCCTCTGGCTGATGTCCTGCTGGCAGCGAGGTGTTCCTGTTCTCAGGTGATCCCTGAGAAGCAGATAGCAGCAAGCAAGACATTCCTGCAGGGTGGGAGGAAAAATACTTCTTACGCAGGAAAAGCTGCAACCTTTCAGTCCAAACAATTATGTCAAGAGAAATTTGTTATGAATAAATGCAGTTTCTCATACGGACGACTAAAATGATGAAAACCAAATACTATTTTTCTCGTTAGTTTTTGTGAGGTTGAGAATATATGAAAGGTGTCTAAGGGAGAAAAACCCATAGTCGCCCACTTTAGGTTTCTCCCCAGTGATGTGCTTGAATGGGATCAATGAAAAACAAACAAACAAACAAAAACAAACACCAATTCAAACTAAAAACATTCAGCGATGTAAACATGGTGTATTTTTAGATTAAAAACAACCAAATTAGCACTACAAGTACAATATTTGCCTGTAATCTATTTTCTACATGTAGTTAGTCAGAATTGTTGTTTCTGTAAGGGGTTAGAAATGGTAACACGTATCTTGCATCTCTCTGAACAACTATTAGGTTGTTAGCCATAATAATCTCATGAGAGATCTGAACCCTCTCAGCTCCTTATCATCTTAAGGAGTTTCATTTTCTTTCTAATTTTGCCGACAGCTGTTGATCTCTATTTCTGGATTGACCAAAAAAAAAAAAAAGTTTTTAGAACTTGCCTTTTGTTAATCCTTTTCTTTTGCAGCATTTCCCTTTGGGGCAATTCTTAATCTTCCACAAGTATCAAGGCATTCAAGTCAATGTTGATTTAGTGGCCAGTCAGGATAAGAGAGAATTCTTTAGTTCATGTGTCTTTTTTTTTTCCCCCTTTTCTTCAGTAGATTGTAGATTTCTAGAAGGGTTTGAAGTTGAGCCTGCAGATTAGTTCAGCTGGTAGTCTCTCCCTCCCACCTTCATACTATATTTCCTTGCCAATAGAAACAGCACTTTCCAGATTTTCTTAATGCAAGTGAGTACTAGAGGTATGCATTAATTTATCCTAGAAACTTGATCTGTGAGTTATCTCAGATCTATCAGCCTAGGTGCTTGTTGGGACTTGGATCTTCGTCACAAGAATGAAAATTTCTTGCCAGAAATTCTAACTGCAGACATAGGCATAGCTAGCATTGTTGAAATATGAAGGAACTCAGTTGTCTCATTACTGTCCGTGTTGCAGAGGCGAGAAGTGTGTCAGTATACCTTCCCACAACAAGCATTTCAGATTATAGGTATTTTTTTTTCTTACTGTTTGATCCATTCCACAGGTGTTTATTATTTTTTCCTTTTGTTTGCCTGTTTAAGACTCTCATTGAAATAAATAAGAAGCCATGCTGTGCATTTGGGGACAGTGCTTGGTCCTTTGAAAATATTTTGCTGTAGGGTCTCTACTGCTGTGGTACAAGTTGCATAATTTGAAATACCTACTCTGCATTTTAAAATTTAAGAAATTTGACAATGAAAAGAAAAAAGAATCAGAGAGATGACTGATTTTTTTTTTTTTTTACATCTGTAAGTAAAGTGAATTTCTCTTGCTAATGAAGTTTGTAAAGAGAGAATCTGGATGAAACAAAGATATGTATCAGAAAAACTCAAAAGAATTGACATCAAGATGGTAATGAAAATAGTCACTGAGGTACATAATACTTAAAAATTAAAATATTTTAAATTGTTATTTTAATTTTGACATAATTGTATACACCTTACCAGCATTTCAGTGAAGACACCATTTATACATGCTGCTAAAAACTAAGCTCTCAAATTATTCTGACTTCAGCAGTATGAATTACACATATAAGCAGTCTTTAACATAAAATGACTGCAGCAGTGGCATCATCTTTCATCTCTTTTCCCTTCCCTGTCTCACACTTACTCTTTCATTTTGAAAAGGTCATGTCTGTTACTGTAAGTGGTCTTGTACACCAGTACCGATCACAACAGAAGGGAAAGGCAAAGGAATCTCTATTACAGGGAATTATCAATTCTTATTGTTTTGCATGTAGTTAAATTATTATTAATTAAATCAACAAATCCTTCTACTGCTGACAGTAATAGAAAACTGAGATACTCATTTGTTATTAAAATAAGCCAGCATGACCACGTAAAAAAGCAGTCCTACCTTTCTCGCCTACCTTTGGGCCTTGTTTCCAACTTTATTTTGCCCGTACCTGCAGAAATGTGGTCTGTGGCCTGAACCCTGATCAGTTCTGCAGCATGGTTGATGCATTTGCACTGTAAAAAAAACAACCCAAAGCAACCAACTAACCAACCAAACAAGAAACAAGCAAAAACAAAATCCCACAACCGAACAACAAAAAAACCCAGCCACCTAGCCCAAACTGGGGTAGAAAGCAAAAATAAAAGATGAACAGATGAAGTATCTTTGTGTGTGTGTGTGTGTATGACAATACTTTTCTATGCCATTTGAAAACACAGCCTTGGTCTTCTTAAACTCAGTTTGTACTTGGGGAATTGGATTTTCCCAGTGCAGCAGGATATGAAAAGACAAATTGAAGGATAGAACCCATGGTATTTTTACTCCCACTTTTGGGAGGAAATAAGAGATTTTTATGACCCTTTTTATTTAAGGAGAAAAATAGAACCCAGGTTGGATTTGATTTTTTAAGTATTCCCCTGCTTATAGTTTTGAGGTATTATCAGTTTTTATAGGTGGATTTAATTTCCATGGAGTAAAATTGGTGCTAATTTCAACATGTGGCAGGCTACTGTAATGTTATTTCTTTTGCTGTTCTACGATTTCTTTTTCTGTTCTATTTCTTGATTACTTTTATTGTAAACCCACAAAACAGCTGGCATAATGCACAGATTGAAATTACACTTTTACAAGAATGATAAAGTGTTAAACTACTCTTACTCTGACATTTTGGGCAGCTGGATTTTAATTATTTGACTGAAGTTGTTAATTCAGCTCAATAAAAGCCATATCCGCATGATAGATGTAGATGTCAAAATGCCACAAAGGGTTCCACGTCTTTGATTAGAGGTGTTACTATGATGTTAAACCCAGATTACAAGAGCATCTTAAATTCTATTGATTCTGTCATCCTTCTTTCTAATGCGCTGTTCAAAATCAATATTAAAAAAAAAAAAAAAAAAGGCTAGGAATGATGCTATATTCCACCCCCCCCCACCCCCCCCCCCCCCCCACCCCAGACCTGCCGGTTTCTCTGTAAGTTACCAAGAGACAGTCTTTCAGTCAAGGAAGGACTCGATGAAACAGGGATTTAGTCTGACTTGGCTGTCTTGCTTTAAGTTTCATTTTGTTATACATGCTTCACCCATCTTGGGACGTTGTATCAGAGCAAGTGCTTGGGGGATGCAGCTGTCAAGCATTATTCCAGATAAAAAAGAGCCCAAGCTACATCCTATCAGAGAAACTGTCCAGAAAATCAGATACAGCTTCTTTCAGGGTTAGTTTGACTTTTGCTTACATGTGGCACAAAAGAGCTTACAGAAAGGAAGTGCAGTACTTGGCACATTTTGACTAGTTGCAAATTCATGAATACTCTGTATTCTCTCTTTGTTTAAGGCTTAGTCCTTATGACCGCAAGCGGTCTGTTATTCTGTTCCCCTTTCCATTACCTTGTTCTTCTTTTCTCAGGGAGATAACAATGGTAATTCTGCTATGCAAATGATGCAGTTCTTAATGCCGGTATACTTTAAAAACAAAACAAAACAGTAGTGTTCTAGGAATAGGAAGAATAAAGAAAGAAAAAGGCTATCAGTGTTTACGGGAGTAATCCTGCAGAGGACAGATCGTACAGAGTGGTTGAATCTTTTCCTTTAAGTGTTTCTTCCAGTATGTTTTGTCCTGGAAGCTTAAGAGGATAACCTTCTTAAAAGTAGCAGTTAAAGCCACAGCTTATAGGGTAAATATATATATCAGCTTTTAGAATTCGAAGGTGGAAATACAGTCAGGAAATTTAATTTATACTGCAGAAATCAGTAAAACACAGAAGAATAAAAATTGGAACCAAATCGTAGTTTACACCCTCCTGCTTGAAAATGAAGCTTTTACAATCTCTCTCTCTTTTTGTTTTTCTAAAAACAAATATTAAAAATCAGAATGCTTATATTTTTAACATTTCTTTTACACTGGAAATCTGCAGCAACATAGTTTAAATGTTATATACTCTGACTTGGCATTTATTGCATTTCAATTTTTATGCCTTTTTATGGATGGCTTAAGTAGGAAATAAGACAAAATGATTTTTTTTTTTTTCATTTAAGTAGTTGCTGGGAAAGAGGGAATAGTCTGAAAATACCATCTTGTAATCATGAATTAGAATGAGTTATGCCATGTAGCTGTGGAGGCCATTTAGTATTTCAGAAGCACAGCAGGGGACCTTTTTTAAAAGACATAATTAAAAACAACGGATGATATAGGCTGTTATGGATCTTAGGTCCCAGGCTTCCAGAATAATTTAAGTTCCTCTAAAATACTGCTGTTGTTGCCTATTAGCGTTTGTGTGCTATTTCCCTTCAGTCAGTATTTTCAGATGGGGAGATTTCAATAGGCCGCATCTGTGTTGGTCACTTTCATTACATTCTAGTCAAATATTGTTTTGTAGGTTTTACATAATCAACCATTTGAGGGAATATTTAAATACTATTTATTAGGTTTTCTGTTTTGAAAACCTTACCGTCGCCTAGTGAAAAGACCATACTGTAGCACTGTAGATGAAGTTGCTTATATTGTCATAATAAACAACAAAGTTGTTCAAATGACGAAAGGTCATCTTTTTTCCTCACTAGTCACCAATTGTATATGAATTGTTTACTTGCCACTCCCTCAGGCACAGAGCACCGTGCTTTAAAATAATCCTGCATAGTTACACAGGGTTTTGTCTTAAATTTCACTGTAATATCAACAGCTTTTATGATGGTCTTAAGTATTTGGAGGAAAAATTCTTCACTGCTAATAGTGAAGATTAATGTGCATCTTTGAGAAATAGGGAACGTAAAAACATGCACAACATTTTCAATACTCTAATGATATTCCTGAAAAATGTTTAATGGGGTTTTGAATTGAAACCTTATTCTTTCCTTACTGCAGGAAGGGAAAATCTGTAATGATCTGTAATCATTATATACCATCCTCTAAATTCCAATGACATATTCACTGCTGTAGATGTGGGTCAGTAAAGCTGTGACACCGACCATTGGCATCTTTAAACAGGATATTGTCTAATACAGTTTATAGCTTCATTCCCTGTACCATTAAATAAATAAAGCATTCAGCATGTGCATCAGTGCCATCAAGCATGAATACCCTGGTGGACTGGGAATTAAATGCCAAGTGAGGGTCAGAAGCAACAAAGGCTGAATAACACTCAGCAAATGTATACATATTAGGTAAGGAACAGTGCCCCTGATGCAGAAGAAATTGAATAAGCACCTTGCAGTGTCTAGATGGAGCATAAAGACTTCTTTTGTTTGCCTGAACTGCCATCATTGACCCAAGCAGAATATTCCAGTATTGAATGAACTGAACAATAGTTTATTACAGGTAAAAGGAAATCTTTGGATTCCAAATTCTTCTGGGATATTATGCTGCCTTGATTATTGTACACTCTGTAGCCCCTTAGGCCACATTGACTGGTAAAATATATTTTGCAGTATGTTCTCTTAGCAGTCAGAAAATATCACGCTTCTGTCAGATTTTCTTTGTCTGTCTTAAAATCCACATAACTTTATATTCTTACAGGAAAGGAATAACAGTTACTGTGCTTATTGTGGTAGTTTCACTGCTTCTCGTAGCTCAGTTTTATTTCTATGAAACACTCTGCTTTTTCCAAATTTTAAACAAATATCAAATTGACACTATTGCATTCTGGCTGACCAGCTTGAAGTTACTGCTGAAGCAGCTTTTCTTCATCTAATTTAAACAGTTTTTCTAAAAATATCAATTATGTTTTATGATCTAATATAAATGTAAAACAATGTGTCTAGCAAAAGTTCCCAGAGGCTGAATAAAGTTGTTTCTTTCTTGGGTTATGTTTGAACAGTTCCCATAAAGAGACATATTTTTGTAAATACTTAAATTGGTTATTCTTCATGATTATAGTTTGTTTTGTTTCATATTACCCTGTAGTGTACAAGTATCCTAGGAATATTATTTTTCTTATTAAGATTTAACAGGAGTGAGTGCTTAAAAAAGTTACCTTCTTTGCTTTGCTTGCCTGAAGTATGAATAACAAGCTTTTTGGCTGATCTAGTATAGGTCATTTTATTTTAGTATTAAAATATCTTGTGTAAGCAACTAAAATGAAAAGGCATAAACTGCATTATGAAACCTTTGTTAAAACAGAAGGGCAGAAATTAAATAGGTGACTTCCTGGTAAGCTAAACCAAGGAATAATTATTTTTAGAGTAGTAACCCAGAATGCTGGAGTACTGATAACCGTCTGTTTTCCCATAAAACTATTTTCTTTAGTTGTAATACATAAAAATTAAGTTGGTTGTAACTCTTGTCAGCGGGATAGGAGAATAATTGACAATAGTTAGAAGGGAAAAGCATGGTTATGGCTGAATTTTCCACTCAGCTGCTTAAGTGTGTTCTGAACAAAGAAATTCAGCAACCCAAAAAGTCTGTGAATTGCCTGAATTGCTGGGGATTAAATCATGAAAATTAAATGAAATTTGTTTTGGAAATAAAAATGGAAAAAATCAATAATGCATCAAACTGTCATAAGAGGCTATTCAGTTTCTTGCATAGTTTTAGTAATTCATCTCCTGAACTAAACTGGTGGATGTGCTGATATATGATTCTACACACTTACCAAATTTTGTAATTTAATCCTCACTGTAACTCAATAGCCTTTTGCCTAAGATGCTGTAATCTCTTTAGGATGTGCTTATCCATGAAAGTAGACCCCACCAGCCTCTGTAAGACTATATGTGAGCACAGAATTTAGTATCCATTTAAGTAGTCATACCCTTTTTGTTAAATAGTTCTACAGATCTCATTTTGTATGGTTTTGTTTCCTCAAACAATAAATAAATAAATTGAAATTAAATTAATGTAATCAGATTAAAACATGGTAGTTGTTTCGTGCAGGTGAGAGATCTCAGACCAAATCCTTTTAAAATGAGAACAGGTTTAATCGGTGTGACTTCACTAGTCATTAATTCAGTGCTAGCTTTCTCTTATTAAGGTTCATTGTCATCACTTTGTGTAAGTATCTTTTGTTTTCCTGAGAGTCTGAAAATACACATATAAACCATAGAATTGACATGCATTCAGTATCTGCAGTGATTTCTATGTCTACTTACATATTCAGAGCTAGCAGAAACATAAACAGGTATAATGCTGGGTACTTTAAGGCTTTCCTGTAATCTCTATTAATGCTCTTTATTTGTAAATTGGATAATGGCATGGAAAAAGTTAAGCTATTGTCTTTTGATTACTCAGTAGCATAATGCAGCAAAAGCTACAGTAGGCTTGCGTTTGGTCATAAGAAAAAGGTGTTTAATGTTTATCAGTCTCACAGCAGTTCTGAAAGTGGGATCCATGTGTATAAAACAGTATTTGTGTGTTAGTAATGAGGGATAGGGATGTTTCAAATTCTAGAAACTCGAGACTTTTATGTGATTGGAACTGCTCGCAGCCAAACAAGGGCATGGAAATAAATGAACAATTACAGAGCAGGAAAAAAGTTTATCCTCCATACTCTTCCATTTTAATGATTATATTACCTCTTTCCAGGAATAACTAGAATAGTGGAATACAGATAATAGTAACTAGAGTAACTAAAGTAACTGTAATACATATACTTTCAAATTTGAAAGTAAATTCAGAGAACACAGATAGTGTTTCTACTATTCTGAATCCAAGGAATAGCTTTTAAAATTACTTTAAAAAAGGAAGCAGTAAGAACAAGCAAAGAACTATCACTTGCTTGGAAGCAAATGCAGATTGCAAATTCATGTAAGACTATTTCTGACTGTATTTGTGCAGTTTTCATCATAGTGGAAGAGGTAATGTGGATGTAACATCTTTCATGGGAGAACAACATCAGGGGGAGCTTGTACATGTCCTTCTCCAAATCACAAGAATCCAGCACCTCACATGGCTGGACTCAAATATTTTTTAAATGTAGAGTGAAACTCTGAAGAGAGACTGTAGAATGGATTGCTAGGCTTAACATTCAGGCTTATCATAGGTCAAGAATAATAAAATGTGTTCTACCTTCGGTTAGATGTTTTCCTCTTAATTTTTAACATCTTCAGGCCAATCCATGTGTAAAAGAAGATGGCATTTGGGGGGCATTTTTGTAGCACTAAAAAACTAATTTGTGTGGATTCTCAATACCGTACAATTTGACCCTATTAGATTTCTCAGAACACTTCATCTATCCACTTCCATTTTTACTTGAAGTTGTTAATTTGTAAAATGATAATTAAGATTGTCAATTATTTTTTTTTAAGTTCTAGTAAGTGTATTGTACCGCTATAATGAACATGTTCAATTTGTGCTTGTACAGCACAATTTCTTCTTAGGCATCCTATAATCTCTGCTTCATTATCCAAACAAGATTTCAACTTCCCTTTCAAGTACATCTTCTTGATTAATTGGGCTATTAACTAGAAGGTACCCCCATGCAACTAAAAGGGTAGTGTAGCACTGATGATTTGGGATGTGTGTGTGTTATCCAGAGACCAAAAGAGGCACCCCCAGGATTTTGTATGACAGACTTGAGATACCCTGCTTGTGCTTTAATAAGCAATTGAAATGGGTAATCTGCTAACACATTGTTGTAAGTAGCGGGTCATAGTTGCTAGAAAATAAATTGGGATCTTACAAAACAACTGCATTAACTTAGGGATTTTCACTGTTATAACTTGCCACTAAGCTTTCTATTCAGACTGATCAACTCTGAATTCACACTTATTGTGAATAATTGTGAATTCAATACAGAGTAGCAAAAGTTTATTTATATTTGTCTTTCTTTTTATGAATAATTGAAATACCCATGCATGCATTAAAAAAAAAGAAAAAAGATTGGCACATGTTAAGACACTAGAAGTGTTTATATTACTTTGTGCTAGCTAGAAACTGAAACAAAATAGTTCTTATATTAAATAATTATCATAAGGAGGGGTAATTCCAATGATATTCATTATTTTCTTTTTATTTCAATTTTGTCGTTGGAAATGATAGCTTCCATCATTGCATTGAAAGATACTTAATCTACAAATTTGACCAGAAATCTTTTAGACTGTCTAAAGTTCATTTCCTGAGAAGTAACCTTCTGAAATTCTGGATAAAGCTGACTATTTGGCCTGCTTGTCCTGGGTGGAAGACCAGGGATTCCTGTTGTATGTGCATATGTCATGTATGCATGTTGCCTTGTGGACTTTGAATTTCAGAGAATTTCAGAAGCAACTGCTTTCTACGTTCAGAGAACAGTGTTCCTCACTACTTAAATACATCGTTTATTGCTAGCAGAGCACCTTGTGGCTTTGTCTTGTGTTTGCTTGCTTCCATCTCTGCCTTTGCCTCCTCTTGCTGTGTTGAAGAGGACAGTTACCAGTGAGCTTCTCCCTCCTGTAGGTACTTACACATGAAATCACCTCTTAACCCTCAGTTGGATTGATTTTGTACCCCATGTAATGGACGTTCATAGATTCTGAGCTATTTCTGTAATTTTATAATAGACATTTCACCTCAAAAGAGCTACAGGCTTCACGTGCAGAGCCCCCCGGCAACCCAGAGCTGCCTCTGAGCACTAGCACAAACAGGCCTCTATGCCAGGGAACTGCATATTAAATCCAAACTAGTTTAGTGATGTACATGAGGGCCAGAAGCAGAAAAAAAAATCATATAAGCATAAAAAAAAACAACACCAACAAAGTGACAATTTCTTACCCCGTTGTTCTCCACCAACCCTTGCCCCATGGGCCTGCTGTGTCCCCACAGAGTGCGTGGCATGCAGACATCCTTCCCTGTCCCCCTCTTCCCAGTGTAGCCCATATGTGGCATTTCAGCAGGCCCCGCCTTGTCTTGCAAATGCACACAAGGTTTACTTTGATGTTGGCTACACAATTTTATTTGTCTTGGTTTACATAGTAACTTCAACAGCTGCCAGAGTATAATATTGCATAAAACGTGAGTGTGCCCAGAACTGCCAAGCTGTGTAACTACTTAACGTTACTATGCTTCCTTACCCTCCCTGAACCTTGAAGAAAAGCAATATAGTATTTTATAAGCTGATCTGTGCTTGATCTTGCCAAACTGTAAAACAATAAAATATAAATGCTGACTGATTTTGAAATCAGAGCTGAAGAACAAACAGTTTTGCCCAGGCATGCAACCTGGAGTGCCACATTAATTCACCCGGTCTGTTCCTTGCTGTTCCCTCCTGAGGTGTTGGGGGCTCTTGTCTGTGTCATGCCAGCTGGTGAGGTACACTTGTTGGGATGAGGATGGCTCTCTGCCAAGCTGCATCGCTTCCAAACATGTTGAAGTAACTAAAATTTAGATTTGAAGTATTTAGTTACTCTGAGCCAGCTCTTCAAGATTTTCTTCCTCCTATCCCCAGTGGCACCCCTTTTGTTTCTTGTGCTGGAAGATAAAAAATAAAATAAAATTGTGGACTGCTGCTTGGAGACTCGAGCAAAAGTTTCGCATGAATACCAGATGAAGAAGAATACTTTTTTTATACATGTTTGTGTTTCAGTTAAGTAATATTTTCTTCCAAAGCATTTGCAGTTTCAGACAGTAGAGACTGCTTATAGTTTGGGGATTTTTGATTTTGTAGTACTTACTTGTGCTTCTGTTTTGAGTCTTGGACTCTTATTAATTTGGCACATGTCTTGCTCTAAAACCACATGATGCCTTCTTGGAAATATAATCAAGTCAGACAAACATGAAATTACAGAATGTTTTTTTTTTTCAGCATATTTTTTAGTTTTGCCTTCTTTTCTATAGCATATGTATGTATATAGCTATCTTTGTCTTTTTTAAAAAATAACAGTTTTAATGAGTAAGTCCTAGCTAATTCTGGAAAGGCTTTTTGACATTTGCAATGTTGGTATGGAAACTGAAGTTTAGACATCCATTTTTCTTCTTAATGTTAGGTGGTTGGTCCCTTGCCATTGTTATTCTCCTTTCACCTTTGTGTTATCCTTGAATTGGATCTGAAGCTTCTTGGGGTCTGACCCAGAATTGCCTACTGCTGGCCAGTAAGAAACGGGGTTTCCTGTTTAGTAATAAACAGGGGAAATGAAAAAAAATATTTTTTTTCTGTTTTCTGACTTGGAGTGAGCACTTAGGACTACTTCAGGCACCTCCTTCCACATTTGTTCCTGCAGTTGCCCTCTTTCAAAGACGAATGTATCAGGGGTGGTTCTGTCCTTGCTGCTGGTGCCATCTCCCACCTTTGCACAAAAATACCTCACTGCAGGTGCAAGGAACTGAAAACTTGGAGTGTCCTCTACACTTGACAGAAATGAACATCCATCCCTTCTGAGACCACCCTAAGCTCCAGGCTGAAGGGGCTCTGCCCCTCCTGTTGAAACAGCACAAATATGCAGAGAGGAATCTCTAGGGTCAGGGCAGTAACAGGGCCGATAGGGGAAGAGGGTGAGCCCCGGCTTCTGAGCCGTCACTGCACCGTAACTTGCACAGGGACAAATAAAACACTTGGATTCCTGTCTAATGAACAACATTTCTGTTTTGTTGTATTATTACAGTGTAGCCAACTACAGGGCCATTAAGGCCCAGCATAGTGGTCCAACACTTTGCTAACAGTTGAACCTAATTTGCTTATGGAGGGTACAAGAAACTATGCAAGATGCAGCTGTAGAATATCCTGATGCTGATGTAGGTAGGTATCCTCCAACCATGATCAAAGATAAATTGTCTTAAAGCATACAGGCCTGTTGCCAGTGATCGCAAAAGTGAACGCTTCTAACTAGGCCACTTATCTCCTGGTCATGCTTCTGATCAAATGACAGTACCCTGTATGTGTTGAATTCTAGGCCAAGTTAGATCTGTAGTCATAGCCAAAATTTATTTGTTCAGCCCTAAAATGAAAGAATCCTCAACTGCCTTTGGGTTAAAATTTTATAATAGGTCTCTGAAACAACCTGGTATTGAGAACTCACAATGGTATTAATGTGTTACCTAGGAAATGCTAATTAATCCCCACATATCATTTCCATGAAAAGCAAATGCTGAGTGGTTTATTAACCTTTTATCTGAGGGAGGTGGAGAGAAGATGTAGGCTCACCATTAATCTACCCTCCCAGAGAGATGGGCAGAGAAGAGGTGGAATTGCAGAGTTTATTATTTCTCCCCACTTAGAGTGGCAGTACCATATGCAAAGATCATTATGAATCTTTCCCACAGGGAAACAGGAGAAAGAAGGGAAAAAATGTCATTAGTGTCTGCTTAGCAGTAGTGAGGTAGTGATGTTAGGAGTCAGAGCTGGGTTTATTAGTTCCCCTGTGGATGGGAAGGAAGGAAGACAACCAAAGTGTGTGGGGGAAGAATCTAGGGAGGGGCGGCCAGGCACACCACAGTGCTGCTTCCGGATACCATGGTTCCCTTACAGGGACTTTTTGGTTTGCACACATAACATTAAAGCTCTACCAGTTTGCATCTAAGAAACAGGAGTGGTGAAATCATTGATCTGGAACAAAAGTTTGGGAGATGCTAAACTAGCTTTAGGCATAAGTGCTGTCTTCTGCAGAAATAGTTTGTGATTTCATTTACATTTATTCATTTATTTTTTTTGACTTACGAGACAAATTTGTAAAGAGTTAAAATTACCTAGAAACATGAAAGCAGGAAATATTTAGTTTTCTTTCCTTCTGATCTTTAAGTAAATTTCTGGATATAAAAGGATGAGATTAAAGTGGTTTTAACATTTTAGATGGCTTGGTTGCCAAAACCAAACAATTTGGTATTTCATTCCAGAAAATGATGTGCTTTTTAAATATATCCATATGTAATATAAACAAGCTAGGCAAATAGTTTAATTTAAATGTCAGTAATACACAGCGTCTGAGGAGGTGCATACTTGGTTGAATATTAGTATTTTTTTCTCCCATGTAGGTTCAACGTACAACTAAGAGTAAGAATTTGATGTTCATTTAATTAAGAGAAAAAGATTCACTTTCCCTTTCTAGTATAACAAAAGAGGAAGAATATAAAAACCTCAACTAAAGCATCACTGATATATATAGAAAGTGGCAAATGGAAGTGCAAATTCAGTCTAAGTCGATTCTTATCAATATGTTTGTGTATCGATCACCAAGTTTCATTTTCTTTAATAATACAAATAGATTTAAATAAGAATAAATTGATTATCTAAATACTGGTTCTTTCTGATGATTTAAATTATTGAACTTTGAATTAAACAACAATTTAAATTTAAGTGATTCAAAACACTTAGATTTATAAATGCAGTTTAATCCACTGCAAAGGGATTAAACATCCATCCACATCCAAAGGCGTGGATGGCATTCTTTGCTCATGCAGGCTTGGGATTCAATTATTATTGCATCAACAGGCTACCTTCATTCCCAGTATGTAAAAAACCACGAATGGTATTTCGTATCATATGTAGGAGCACTGTGTGGCAATTGAAACCAAGGACCTCTCTGAGCTTTCTTTAAGATTTACGCACGAACCTGTAGTGCAGAAGAGCTTCTCTCCATTCTGGGAGTCTGAGGGATATATGGGAAAATCTTGTCTCACCACTTGCAAAGGAATGTATGAGGAACGCTTGTCACCAGGCGAGATCTTTTATCTCATTTACTGCCAGTGGAGCGTAGTGGAGGAGTTCTGTTTTACCATCAAGTACCGTTGGGACTTGCTAAGCACCATGAAAGTTAACTAAATCTCTGCCTTTATCCTAAAATTAACATCATAATTTAGGAGTGGAGCATGCTTCATTGTTTGGCAGTTATCTTGAATCCACCTTTTAAGACCAAAAGGGAAAAAGGATCAGAGAATGCATTTACCGTGCTTCAAGGCAGACAGCAGTTTCACAGCACAGAAATAAAATTAAAAACAGTGCTTGTGCCTACCAGTAATTTAGATAAACTCCAAGGGGTTTCTTTTGTCTGTCTCAAGCTCGTAGGGTTTTTGTGCAGTCCTGTGACTGGGGATCAAACTTGCACACAGACCTATGGCTTCCCTTCGTGCAGGAAGACCTGTATTTGAGGACTGATACTCAAACCCAGGGATGTCATTCAGACTTGCATTCCCTTCCCCTCTCCAGATTTCTGTGAGTGTAACTTAATTAGTAAGTTGATCTTAACCTTTTCCTGCTGCTGCTTAATTTTTAGAAATGCTAACAACCTTTGGGAATGGTTAGGTGGAGCTATTCCTGTCTAGACAGTAAATACAGCTTAATGACTGTCCTGGTCTTTAAACAATCTTTTAACTCCGTGTAAAGTATGTGCTCCCTTATGTTTCATACCGTGGGGGGCATCTTCAGCATGCCGACCTCTTTTTGCATCGAAAAATCCCCGCTGTACAACCAAAAATGTATATTTACAAGCTATCAAATGTTTTTTAAGTCTGTAAATGAATTGTGCATGTTCAATTTTTCTAACAGTTAAATGAGGATGGATGCAGTAGTAAACAGGCGCTCTCATATTGCAATGGATTTGTGGGGACTGACCCCAGCTTTTTCTTTCAGGGATACTGGGACATTCTATCATGCTTTCTGTGCCCATTCTCTAAAATGTGGGAGCTAATTTACTATAATCTGCACAGTCTGGGGAGTTATTACTGACCTCTGTGTTTGTTTTCAAAAGACAGCATTCTTTATAGAAGTTTGAAGCCAGACATCAAAGTATTAATTTTGATGGACACTGAATTTCACAGAAATTCTGAGGGAGTTGTCAGAATGTGAAAGCGAACATCACAGAGGAAAAACAACCAAATGCTGGTTTTAGTTACTTTAATCTATTCTGGTTTTGTATAAACACATTTGTGATGTTGCTTACTGCTGGCTGTGTATTCTTTTGGGAATGAAGATGTCCTTGATTCCTGTCTCAGGCGGTGTTTCTTCTCACTTCATCAGAAATTGGTCCTGATTGACAACAGACATTTGTGTTTTTAAACTGTCTTTTAGGAATAGTCACAGTGCCACAAAGAAAAATAGGAGACATATGTCCCTGGAAGTGTGTACTGAAAGTAATCTATTCAAAGTAGTAGTTTCCAATGGTCTAGCAGCAGGAAAACTTAAACGTGTGCATCAGAGGTTTCAAGGGCCGGTCTTCATCTGCTTATCCTAAAACTGCATACATTTAGAAAAAAAAATCATCCACAGAAGTCCTTTCTTTTGCTTTACTCATACCTTTGGAAATTTCTGTAATTCACTTTGCTGAGGTGGTCATGTCTGCAAGTCGTTGCTAACATTCAAAGTTAAGTCGACTAGGTTTAAGTATAAAACTTATCTTTTAATGTAGATTGATATATGAACAGAGGAAGTGCTGTACTTACCCATGTTCTATTACAGCCCACACAAAGAAAACAGAAAAGTTAAGACTCAAGGTCTATTCTATAATTCAGGGTTTTTACTGAAATTTGAAGGCAATTTAAACCACCTACTTATTTCAAAGGTAGTATCGATAGACCACCTGCTGTTGACATGCACTAAGAAAGATGGAAGGATGTAAATGAGTTTTAGTGATTTGCCTGCCTTTGAATACAAATGAGGCTAACAACCTCCTGTCCTGCACTCCAGCAGTCGACTACCAGAATGTTTCCAGTGTGCTTTATTGAGAAGTGGGTGTTGTCATCATGAATTATCATTAAACTTTGTTGTTGTTAACTGCTTGTTAGCAATTGATAATTCAAGTGTAATTCTGTTAGATATTTCAGATATGTCACGTACTATGCAGTTCGTAACTGCTATTTGACAATGAGGAGCTCCTTCCAATAGAAACTTGGAAAGACTTGTCTGCACATAGGTGGCTATTGAAGGATTTGTGGTGAAGAGTGAGATTTAAGCTGAAGCAGCTGAAAGAGGGTAGAGACTAGAAAACCACCTATCCTGAGGTTATAAATGTAATCTTTTAAGTTCAGCCAGTTTCTAGTCTGTCCAGGGAAGATGTGTAAACTTATGTACCTAACAGTAGTCTTTGCTTTTCTTTTAAGAACACTGCATGCCTTGGAAGTTAAAACAAAGATTACAGTAATGTCTATACCTTTTTCTTTTAATGTGGATGCCTTTGTGATTAAAACATTATTTCTTCCAGTGGCTTAACAAAAAACTAGGAAACAAACAATTAAGAGCAGGAAGAGCTGAGCTACTTTTTGAGCTGATGAGATAAAAATCTGAACAATTGCGACTGTCCCTTTGGCATAGCACAATTGGCTTCTGTGGAGGGTTTTTGGACTGATTTCCATTCATTGTTTTCAGTGACCCTTCTTGAAGAGTCTGAAAAACATTTCTAAAGTTAGAACCTCTTCTTTCTTCACTTGCAAATTTTGTAAGCACTCTGCAGTGATTCATTTGTGGTTGAAAACTGCTACTGGCTGTCTCCTCCCATAGTACCAGCCATTCCTTTGAGTATTTGCCACCTATTCCTTGTTTTTGCATGGCTTCAAAAGCAACAATTGTCACAAAGAAACAGGCTATCCTAAATGACAGCTTTCACTGTCTTTAAGATCACAGGTCAAAATGGAAAATGAATGTTTCAGGATGATTTGATAGCACTAGATAGTATCTTAATGTCATTGTATACTGATTTTACAGTTTAATTCACCACTATAAAACTTCCAAGTCAAAGAAATGTCTCCTAGTCCTTAAATGGGCAGCTATCATAGCCATAATTTGTTTATGAGACGCTTGTCTTTCTGGAAGACTGGTCTGTCTCGGTTCCTATCAAAAATAAATCAATTTCCTGTGGAAACTGGCATAAATCTTTCAGATTGTTTCTTAGCATTTCTTCAGCATTTGTCAGAGTTGCTGTTAGCTGTATAGCTTTGTGTTGTCTCATAATGAATTGTAGCGATAGATAAAAAAAAAATATTAATCTGTTTTTGTTAATCCTGTTTTGTAATTAAATACATCTTTTATATAAATTCTGTTAAGATTTGAATGAAAGGGGATTTATGGAAACATGACTTGCTTTTTATAAGATAGTTTTAGGATTATGAAATCAACACTGGGAAAAAGAAAAGTTTGACTTGCTCACAGAGCAAAAGATTTTCTCTTTGTTATTCTTGCTTTGCTGGCACTATGAAAAAAAAAAATAAGAGCATTCAAGCTGGGTTGCCTGTGGTTTAACTCTAATTCTATAGGCTGCACACTCTATCTCCCCAAAATCCCCACAGCAAGTGACCTTGTCAAACAAAAGTGTGGAATAATGGGAGGCAGCCCAGGGACTGTGGCTCATTTACAAGCAGCTGTTTGCTACTGTCAGAACAAAGGCAAATCAAAGTTGCATTAACGGGGTATGACAGGCACAGTGAGCAGCTCCCCAACAATGTTCATCCTCTTGTGTTGTTCTGGTTATAATATTGGCTTGCCTGAAGGAGAAAATGGTCATAAGGTCAAGTCAGACATGGATGTTTTCAAAAGCCTTTCAAAATTGCACACATTTTTCAGCTGATCAACTATTGATGTTTTTTAACAAAATTAGCATAATGGCAAATAAATACATATTTATGTGTGTGCCTGTCTTTTGGTGTAAGAATTAGAACCACACAGAGAATTAACAACTATGTCTTCACAGCAAGATAAGTGTCACATGGCCTTCCACAATTGTCTGATTCATCCAGTCCAAAAACCAAAGCAATCGTAGATAATGCCACTTCTAAATTTCTACATGGCATTGAAGCATGGCTGGAGGATCACTCTTGCTTCTCCATAGCTTTTGTATTTTACTGCTTGACTAGAACTCTTCTCTGCACCTTGCAAGATAGCACCAAATTATGTGACACTTTGGTGAAGAAGTTACCAGTGTATCCTGAATTTTGAGAAATGATTGGCTGTACTGGGTCTGGCTTGCTCAGTTTAAGCTTGGTAATGTGTATTCATTTGGAAGACTCGATACAAGTGAAGAGCAAAGAGATTTCTTATGGAGAAGTGCAAGCTTGTAGACAAAAAGGGCCAGAATCCAGCATATGACTGCAGTACTCCCTAATGATGACTTCATGTAGCATACAGAAGGTTTGTTCGTAGCCATGTGAATGAGACTTCTATAATTTGAGCCTGTACTGCTAGACACCAGTCTGTTGTCTGAAATCGTTCTGAGTTGGTTAGACTTGGTGAGAACATGTCTGAAAAAGGCTTGGGAAGTACAGAAATTCAAAGAGAAAGGACAGGAGAATAGTTGGACATGAACTTTGTAACAAGGCACACAATAGGCAGCACATTTCTCAGTGTTTATTGTACCTTGTGTAGCGTGATAAAGGCTGAAGGCAGAGTGACTTTAACAGTCCCTGAAGTGTAGTATTCCCTGAGAAATGCATGGTTTAAAGTGCTTTACTTCCATTATGAAATTTATAAATAAAAATAAGGAAAGCAGTAAGACATTCATTTGTTGGGCAAATTGATACAACTACTACATCATTAATAGCTGGGCAAAAAAATCTATTTGTTTCAAAAGACAACTTACAAAGTCCTTAACATTTGGCAAATATTTTACTACTAGTGTAAATTTCTGAATTACTTGATTATTTTTGATAGAGAGAGGGAGACCAGGAAATAGGAGATAAATACTTCTACAGTAAAATATACTGCAGATTTAAGGCAGCTGCAGAGTGCATTTTGGTAATGGCATTTGACATCTGCTATATTTCACAATTCAAGATGTGAAAAAGCCTCTAGAATTTAACAATTTGAAGTGCAGTTACTTCATTTTTCAGTCTCATTTGCATTATAGTTAGGAATGTTGAGAAGGTACAGATATGAATAATGTGCATAAGAGACGATTAAGATATGACCAATGTATCTCCTAACCTTTAGAGACAGCATGCTCTAATTTGATACCTTTTAGGGTAAAACTTTCAAAAGTGCAGTGGCTTGCATGCATACAAAGTTGTACTGACAACATCTTTTAAAGTGCTAACATGAATATGAATTTAATTTAATTTATTCTCACAAACTTGCAGTTCTAGCTGTATGTGTTATAGTATCATGTACAGGTGCCAGCCAAGATTACGGCTCCATTGAGCTATACTCATCCAAGAAGTTCTATATTTATCAGCCTGGAGGGCTTGTCGAGTTTCCTCTTTTGCTGCCGTTATCAACTGTTTTGAAATATTCAAAACCTTAAGTGGTATTGAAAACTTACCCAGTGTCCAAAGTACATTGTATATTTTGAGCTGAGAAATAGAACTGTATTTGTAGAATTGTGCTTGCATTTAGCTTAACGCTCAAAATAGAAGAACATAATTTTCATAGGAAATCTGATAATGCTAATTTCTTTCTACAAAAAATTCAGATTCCTTGTGCTTCTCTAGATGACACACAATGGTAGCAGTTTTGTATCATCATCTTTGTAGTCAGTATATTTAACTGTAATTAAAGAAACAGAGATTTTATTTTGTTGTGAGTCAATCTGTTAAGCTCACATGATAATATGTAAATTCCTTTCAGTTAATGGTCCTACTCTTGCTGGGAAAGGAGGACATTTTGTGCATTGCTTTGCTTGAATAGTACTAACAGACTAGCAGATGGTCACTTTCCAACTGGTTTGCCTTGAAAAAAGAAATTAAAATATTATAGTGCCAGGGAGAGATGTTGTAATGTGTCCCTTTCAAATTAACAGGTCGTTTTTTCTACTATTTTATGATTGTAAAATAGCTCAATGTCACATAAAAGGTTAAAAGCTGAAGTAAATGGCATCATGGGAAATTTGAAATAAATAGGGACTCATATGGTTTATGGCTCTATACTTGAACGCACAAGGAATATATTTCTTTCCTTGAAAAGGCATTCTGTAAGAGCTTGCCATGTTAATGTGAATTGTGGTCACAATAGATTGTATTTAGAATAGTTTTAATTCACAAGGTAACATTTTTTGTTTACTGAATTACGCCTTAAAAAGGCCACTCGTTCAAACTGTTTACAAGCCTAAGAGAGAATGCAATATTTTCAGAAAAAAATTGAAGCCATACAGTCCAGTTCATTGAATTATTCTGCCAGTGTCTTTGTGGCTACTTTTCATAGAGCACAGACCTTCAGAATTGATTAAGTTTTAGACTGCAAACCGTCAGGTATTTCATGTTAGTGCCAAATTTGTTTTTCATGGTAAAACTGTTTTCACTGACTTCTGTGAGTCCTAGTTCCAGCAACCCTGCTGGGCAACTTGAAGAAATTTTTCAGCTAGTGTCTGTCCCAGTGGCTGACATATTGCTATGCAGGTGAAGAAGGAGGCGATGGGAAAGCCTTTGTAAAGCTTGCCAGTAGCTACCATTGTGAGATGACCTTTGCTTCTTTTGATGAATGGTCAACTGTGGTTGTTACAGGGTTAGGGTCCAAAGACTAAGAGGAGATGTTTAAAACTGAACTGTAGAAATCTAAGGGTCTCTAATGAATGTGTGTAAAATTGTCACCATTGAGATCTTTTGTCTTTCAAAATCATTAGCAGAGGTAACCTTTAAAATTATCAGTCACATGCAGCTTCAATGGATGTATTACATTCAACAAAAAATGCTATGGTTTGCTATTCTGGGATTTGTTTTCAGTCTTGTCCTACTCTCACAGAAGGAGACCTATGGATAAGTTGCCTATAAATGAGCATTACAGCCAGTTTGTTTCAAAATGCCTCTAATTTTTTATTTCTCTTTTGCTTCCAGCCATCTTTTGCTCAATATAGTTGGTAATCTGTGAGGAAATACAGAATGCGTTGCCTTTATTTCTTAGTAGAAGAATAGCAGTGGTAACTGCAAAAAGAGGCTATTCAGATAGGTGATGAAGCCTGAAGATATAATTTCACTAAAAGCTAGCTTAGACCAATTAAAATTAATAACCATTTCTCATAACTTTGGCAGAAGGGAGCTGTGGATATTTCTGTATGGTGCTGTAAAGGGCCATGGTAAAATGGCTTTGGAGCTCTGAACTGCTCAGGAGCTGTGCCTGCAGCTGCCAGTCCTATGCCCAGGCTGACAAATTAGGCCCTGGGGATTGCCGGTCAGTGCCCAGAAACCCACAGCACACCTTTGGGCTGTTTGGAAGCAGAGGCAGTAGTTTGAAGGTTAGCTCGAGTCTAAGCACCAAGGCAAGGACAAAAAGATAGAGACTGTTCAAACAGAGGATAGAAAAATTCCAAAGAATCAATGAGTCAAATTGGCCACCTGGAAAAAACAGTTCAGAGGAGAAATACCGGGTTGTTGTGGCTTCCTACCAACAGAAGAGATTGAGGTATTTTTTTCACAGTCGATTATGATGGAGCAGGGCCTGGGTAATATTGAACTCCTTTTCCAGCATGTGGTGTCATTGGGAAGCTGGTAGGTGAGGTTAGGAGTGGTGTTCAAAGAACATGAAATGCTTGGGTGAAAGATATGGATTGTCATGAAGATGTTTAGCTCTAAAGTTTCAAGATCACTAAAATTTTGCAAAAAGACATCAAAACAAACAGGTTGCTGTCATTGTGTTCAGGAATCCAGACTAATTTTTCAAATAAGAATAAAACAGTGGTAAGAGTGTGCCATAGTAAATTATCTGTAAATCAGCTAAAGGCCTTTTTTCTTCTGATGGATGCTGCATGCATATTTTGCAAATGAGCGTGTTTATGCCCAAATGGCACATTCATTTGCTTTTGCGTTATCTTTTTAATGGAAACCTTTATTTGTCTTTTTCATGTTTTTTTCTTAAGGTGATTGAGTTTTAGAGTCATATGCAGTGATACAGATATTAATATGCATTATTGCAATTGGATGTAATTAATCCATAATTGCACCTTTTTAACTGGGATGACAACGACAGGGACTTCAGTTTTTAAATGATGTAGGAATAATTCTTCCTATATGTGATTTAGGTTTTTATCTGGAAGAGGTATTTAGATCAAATAATCTATTAAGTGGATAGGAAAAAGCAGAAGTCCATTTCAGCCTGAATTGTCCTATGATGCTGTGATCTGAAGAACTGCTTTGACCTAGAGGTCAAAGGTGAATGTGCCCATATTCACTTAGCTACCAAAAACCTACATTGGGCTTCCAAGGGAAAAGGAGTATGGCTAGGTTTGGGGTTTGGTCTGGGCAATGAATTATTTTGTTTTGATTGAGCCTGATCTGGAACAAAAATTTCTTGCCTTTTTTTCATTGCATGCTTACAAATCTGTTGAACAAAGGATTTTACTGATGTCCTTAGTTTATGTTGGAATAGTTGAACAATTGAATTGTTGCTCCATGGCTTCCTGAGATGCTTGGCACCAACCAAACACACAAAAACAAGGGGGGGGGGGGACGACACAATGATGACACAATAAAACTA